AAGTTAGAAGAGGTAACTCCATAGAAGCAGCTTTTGTATTTCTTGCTGTCATGGCGGAGCTGAATATTGGGCAGCAGTGTTTTGAGAGGACTTGTCACCAACTCGGTGAGAAATATTTTTTTCACATGTGTGTGTGACTGTACGGTGATTTCTCAATACGAAAATAATGAGCATACGCATTACACGTCATGATAACTGTACTGTTTCGTCCAGCTGCGTGGACTAGTAAGTAGTATGACTGTATCGCAGTACAGGGAGATGAAAGCTAAGCTAGTACCAGTAGCAATGAAAATAAAATGTCTCCACTCTCCAGGCTCGAGCGTTATCTGGAACTTTGCAGAGTGCTGAAACCTGCAAAATCTGTTCAGAAACTCTTGTGAGGATTCTCACAGCAGTACTACGGTACACATACCGTACACCTACCGTACACACGGTGTGTTAAAAATATTTCAAAACAAACTTGGGCACATTACAATACATGTACCGTATTTCCTCGATTAATAGACCCGGTCTTTTGTTTTTTGAAGAGGGTTGGACCCCCGGTCTCTTATTTGGGCATGGTCCATGATTTGAGTACGGTCCACTATATTTTCATCGGCACATCGCTGGAAATGGTGGATTTTTAACACGTCATAATATAGAACTTCTATATTTTCATCGGCACATCGCTGGAAATGGTGGATTTTTAACACGTCATAATATAGAAGTTCTATATTATGACGTGTTAAAAATCCACCATTTCCAGCGATGTGCCGATGAAAATATAGTGGACCGTGCTCAAATAATGAAAGAAAGCACTAGCCACTACAAAAATTGTAGTTGCGCAACCTAAAATCGCGTCCTTTTTTGATCCACCACGTGCTTTCTTAGTGCGCATGCGCAAAGCGATGAACTCAAATAAGAGACCGGGTCTCTTATTCGGGCATGGTCTACTATTTTTCCGTGAGGCATCTAGGAGGGTCTACTATTTGAGCATGGTCTATTATTCGAGCATGGTCCATTAATCGAGGAAATACGGTAACCAAGATACATGACCCCAATAGTGTGCAGCTCCAGTATGGGTGATGTGCCGACCGTTGACGTCATTTTTATGTCGCAAGGTGCGTTGTGCACGTGTTATCATACGTAGCCAGGAGTGGAGTAAACTTCTACTACCGAATTTTCCAGAGTACTAGTACAAGCCGCAAAGAAATCAAACTTCAGTCTCCCTATAATGAACTCGCACCAAAGCCAGCCGGCCCGTGGACCTCAGTTGTACTGGGTGCAATCCAACGCAAAGTGTAACGCTGGCGCCGCCTGAACCAGTTCGCCTTGCATTCACTGTGTAGAGTGGTTTCACGTCTTTGTCATGTGACTAAATTGGTGCAGAGAGTGATCTTAGCATGTTGACTCACTGTGGAAGCAACATGGCTGTCCTGTGTGGACATGTGATAGATGTGAAGCCAGTCTATTTGTACAGGTATACGTGCGGCAGTTTCCCTACCAATTCCAGGGCACAGAGTCTGTATTCTGTGCTGAATTTCACCTAGGAAGCTTCATGTGCGTAAACCAATTTCATAGGGTTTGGGGTAAGGCCACACCAAGTTATTTCATTGTTTCTCGTCACCTGAAAATCTCAAAAGGAACGCGGGCGGGCGGAAAAAAACAAAATAGGGTTTGAAAAACAAAAACTGCTATTTACACTACAAAGGCCCAATTTATGACCTAAAATCAGACTATACACCACGCGTGACAGTCAATTGCAACATACAGCCAGAAAACCAGGCTCCTGCACCGGCCTCTGGTGAGGAAGTCCAGTGTTGCAGAGTTTACCGATGCCCGGAACACTGTCAGTCCAAAACGGTGCACTGTCATGCACTGTCTTGACTTGTACCGGAACTGTGTGTAGCAAAGAAGACGACCAGGTCGTGTGGTGGTGTGGTACTTGAACTACCGGTATGCGTACATACACGGTGCAAAAGTCGTCCTTCGGTTCGTGCACTAGCACTGCTCTCCAGATTTGACGCCGCGCGTACTTTTACAACGCCTTTTTATGCGTGTTTACCGGGACGCGAGATTTTTTTTTTTGGTCCAATCCTCAAGAAAGGTACGCGCGCGGTGACGAGAAACAATGAAAAAACTTGGTGTGGCCTAATGGTCACAACAGAAATTTGGCTGCTTCCTGTGTCGTAGACCCAGTCCTACTGGGAGACATGTGGATAATAACATAAACAAGACAAAGGAGATGTAGGAACGACGTGCCGATGTACTGAGAGCAACTCGACCGAGAAGAGGTCTTGGTGTTGCGATCAGGTATCGTAAATGTGTGTTAACCAAAGGGATGGGGGTGTTGAAGAGGAGGACTGCAGAGCTAACAGAAGAGGGTGCTATGCTCTGCGGGGGGGGGGGGGGGGGTCAAGTAGGAAAAATAATAACTTTGCGGTAAAAGAAGGAAAGAAAGTAATAACGCCCAAAAAGTGCTAAATAGTAAATACGAAACTAAGAATGGACTCGGATGGTGAGCCAAGGATACATTTATAGAAAAAAGAACCAAGGAACTACAAGTTACGCTATAATGTCCACTAACACCACCAGCAGCTACTAAACAATCAGCTCAGGCGATAACATTGCACGACGTTGGTCAGCGTCGTGCAATGTTATCGCATGAGCTGATTGTTCAGTAGCTGCTGATGGTGTTAGTGGACATTATAGCGTAACCTGTAGTTCCTTGGTTCTTTTTTTCTTTTCTACAAAACTAAGAAATAGAGCAATCGTAAGCCACGTACACTCAAACTCCTCTTATCCGAACACCTCAGATACGGCCACGTGTCTCTACTGGGCACCTTTCTGCTTGAGTAAAAATGCTTCGAATGTGGGGGGGGGGGGGGGGGGTTGAACTTTTCTTGTACAGTATGCGCAAGTGCTTATTTGTCACTGCCCACCTGTGTAATCCACACATTTTTTTATCAGTGGATTCTTTTTGTATCCTGAGCATGTGCAATATGTGCCAAATAAACTTCTTCAAAAATGATATGATACATGGTAGATGAGTTATCCTGAGATACGGGCAAATCTGAGATACGAGTTCCAAGGTGCCCGGATAAGAGACGTCCGAGTGTGCCGCTTAACTTGCACCAATTAATAATTTAAATGATCACTAAACCGAATAAGAAACCAGGAAACCATGACGAACAAACTACCGGTAACTAATACTAAAAACTACGTGAAGCTCAACATCTTTGGATCGGTGTGTGCATAAACAGTTACACTGAACATGTACATAGTCTTATTTGTACAGCATTGAAGCACAATCAGCAGCCCCTAGCACACAGCATAGCCAAGCTGTAGGATACTGAGATGGGTTGAGGGTGAGAGAGAGAGAGAGAGAGAGAGAGAGAGAGAGAGAGAGAGAGAGAGAGAGAGAGAGAGAGAGAGAGAGAGAGAGAGAGAGAGAGAGAGAGAGAGAAGCATACCTTTCCAACTAACTTCCACGATTCACTCGGACTCTGTGTCATCCTCTGCTCTGGTCTCGGTCTCTTCCTGATGACACTTTTACTCGTGCTGCAGGTTACACTGTTGGCAGCATCCATCGCCTCATTGAACTCCACTTTAACATGGAAGGTGATGCGCCGTTTGGCTTGCACACGGAGCCTGACTGCGGGGCTTGAGAATATCTTGCCGGAGTCGTCTCTGATGAATTGATTTTGATTAATCGATTGTACAAGGCGTACATACCCTCTGCAATAGCTGCATAGGGGAATGCCCGGCAGAGCAGGTCAGGAGCGCATGCAGGCAGGTTGTTCGAGAGTTGGAGTGAATGGGGAGGCCTATGCTGTGTGTGCATATTTGGACGATGCGCGGTTCATCCGCATTACGCTCAGCAAGTACTTGTAGTCCCCACTGAGCACAATGGAGATGGGCACTTTTGCTTTCTCAATTTCGATGAACCTGCTGAGATGAGCTCACTGACCTCATTCCAGACCTGCGCAAGTCCAACCTTCAGCCCTTCATAGTCCTCAGGTGCACTGGTCACGGCAAATGTTATGTGAGATGCACTGCTACAGCTGGACACTGTCTATCAAAACATAAGTCACCAGCACATAGTTAGCGACTTTCGTGAAGGCGGCGCCATCTGCGGCGATTTAATGACAACTTTCTCTTTCGCTGGTCGTTGGATGGTGCTGCACCCATCCAAGTGAGCGGACAGTACTGTAGTATTAGCCGAACAAGGCCATGGTAGATAGTGACCTTTCCTTCTGCGGTTAGGTACTTTGATGCACGCTTCACGAAGCCAAGCCAGGAGGTGGGGCACGGAGTGTAACATTACGCGGGTGTAAGCGGAAGAAGAGTGTCTAGAGCATTGTTAGCCTTTGCGCTCGCTTTCATTTTATAGTGTACCATGGCCTCGTGTTGTTGGCTGTGGCTTGATGTTACCTTGTTTATTGGGTCTAAGTAACGTTGAAATTCCAAGACAATACGTCGGTGAATGCTGCGCCATTCTGGAAACATTGTGATGTGTGCCCGGGCCAGTAGAGCTCACCGCCGAGCGGTGTCTTTTCGTCTTCCCGGGCTGTGTGTTGCCTGGGACTTGTCAAAGTGTTTTGAAAACACAGCACAGCTACCTCTCAATGCTGTTGGCTTGGCTTGGAATGGAACTTGTCCAGCGCTGTCCCAGAATTCTATGACCTGTGATACTATAGTACACAGTGTATCTAGGACTTCCCAAGGTGTGTGTTTGACTAGTCGATACCCCGAAAGACACCACTCATTAATGGTGACTAGGAAGACAGCACAGCAACTCCTTTCGAGACCCTCTATGACATTATGGGCATGAACTGACATGCTCTGCCCAATCCCACACGTCAATGAACATTGTGCTCTTCACTTCCTGTGCTCTTCACTTCCTGTGCAAGGTGTTGTGTCAGTCAAAGCTTGAATCACAGAATCCGTATGAGTCCCTCCTCTCGCCTAAGACCTGCCTTTCAGAGCAAAGCTCTGTTGCATTCTGGGCCGGAAATGGCCCGATCCCACATGTCAACAAACAGTGTGTTCTTCACGTCCTGGGCAAGTTGTTGCGTCAGTTGAAGCTTGAATCACAGACTCCGTATCAATCACTGCTTTCACCGAAGACCTGGCTTTCAGAGCGCTTTTGCATTCTGGGTCTGAAATGGATATTGTCCTGCCCAATCCCACACGTCAACAAACAGTGTGCTCTTAGTTTCCTGGGCAAGTTGTTGCGTCAGTTGAAGCTTGAATCACAGAATCTGTATCAATCACTGCCCTTACCAGAGACCTGGCTGGCTTTCAGATCAAAACTCTTTCGCATTCTGGGTCCGAAATGGCCCAATCCCACACGTCAATGAACGTCGTGTTCTTCTCTTCCTGGGCAAGTTGTTGCGTCAGTCGAAGCTTGATTCACAGAATCTGTATTGATCCCTGCTCTCGCCGAAGACCTGACCTTCCTACCAAAACACTTTGGCATTCTGGGTCTGAAATGCAAAACGTCCTGCCCAATCCCACACGTCAACAAACAGTATGTTCATCGCTTCCTGTGCAAGGTGTTGCGTCAGTCGAAGCTTAAATCACAGAATCCGTATGAGTCCTTCCTCTCGCCGAAGACCTGCCTTTCAGAGCAAAGCTCTGTTGCATTCTGGGCCGGAAATGGCCCGATCCCACATGTCAACAAACAGTGTGTTCTTCACGTCCTGGGCAAGTTGTTGCGTCAGTTGAAGCTTGAATCACAGACTCCGTATTAATCACTGCTTTCACTGAAGACCTGCTTTCAGAGCGCTTTTGCATTCTGGGTCTGAAATGGAAATTGTCCTGCCCAATCCCACACGTCAACAAACAGTGTGCTCTTAGTTTCCTGGGCAAGTTTTTGCGTCCGTTGAAGCTTGAAACACAGAATCTGTATTGATCCCTGCTCTCGCCGAAGACCTGACCTTCCTACCAAAACACTTTGGCATTCTGGGTCTGAAATGCAAAACGTCCTGCCCAATCCCACACGTCAACAAACAGTATGTTCATCGCTTCCTGGGCAAGTTGTTGCGTCAGTCGAAGCTTGATTCACAGAATCTGTATTGATCCCTGCTCTCGCCGAAGACCTGACCTTCCTACCAAAACACTTTGGCATTCTGGGTCTGAAATGCAAAACGTCCTGCCCAATCCCACACGTCAACAAACAGTATGTTCATCGCTTCCTGTGCAAGGTGTTGCGTCAGTCGAAGCTTACATCACAGAATCCGTATGAGTCCTTCCTCTCGCCGAAGACCTGCCTTTCAGAGCAAAGCTCTGTTGCATTCTGGGCCGGAAATGGCCCGATCCCACATGTCAACAAACAGTGTGTTCTTCACGTCCTGGGCAAGTTGTTGCGTCAGTTGAAGCTTGAATCACAGACTCCGTATTAATCACTGCTTTCACTGAAGACCTGGCTTTCAGAGCGCTTTTGCATTCTGGGTCTGAAATGGAAATTGTCCTGCCCAATCCCACACGTCAACAAACAGTGTGCTCTTAGTTTCCTGGGCAAGTTTTTGCGTCCGTTGAAGCTTGAAACACAGAATCTGTATTGATCCCTGCTCTCGCCGAAGACCTGACCTTCCTACCAAAACACTTTGGCATTCTGGGTCTGAAATGCAAAACGTCCTGCCCAATCCCACACGTCAACAAACAGTATGTTCATCGCTTCCTGGGCAAGTTGTTGCGTCAATCGAAGCTTGATTCACAGAATCTGTATTGATCCCTGCTCTCACCGAAGACCTGACCTTCCTACCAAAACACTTTGGCATTCTGGGTCTGAAATGCAAAACGTCCTGCCCAATCCCACACGTCAACAAACAGTATGTTCATCGCTTCCTGGGCAAGTTGTTGCGTCAATCGAAGCTTGATTCACAGAATCTGTATTGATCCCTGCGCTCGCCGAAGACCTGACCTTCCTACCAAAACACTTTGGCATTCTGGGTCTGAAATGCAAAACGTCCTGCCCAATCCCACACGTCAACAAACAGTATGTTCATCGCTTCCTGGGCAAGTTGTTGCGTCAATCGAAGCTTGATTCACAGAATCTGTATTGATCCCTGCTCTCGCCGAAGACCTGACCTTCCTACCAAAACACTTTGGCATTCTGGGTCTGAAATGCAAAACGTCCTGCCCAATCCCACACGTCAACAAACAGTATGTTCATCGCTTCCTGTGCAAGGTGTTGCGTCAGTCGAAGCTTAAATCACAGAATCCGTATGAGTCCTTCCTCTCGCCGAAGAACTGCCTTTCAGAGCAAAGCTCTGTTGCATTCTGGGCCGGAAATGGCCCGATCCCACATGTCAACAAACAGTGTGTTCTTCACGTCCTGGGCAAGTTGTTGCGTCAGTTGAAGCTTGAATCACAGACTCCGTATTAATCACTGCTTTCACTGAAGACCTGCTTTCAGAGCGCTTTTGCATTCTGGGTCTGAAATGGAAATTGTCCTGCCCAATCCCACACGTCAACAAACAGTGTGCTCTTAGTTTCCTGGGCAAGTTTTTGCGTCAGTTGAAGCTTGAAACACAGAATCTGTATTGATCCCTGCTCTCGCCGAAGACCTGACCTTCCTACCAAAACACTTTGGCATTCTGGGTCTGAAATGCAAAACGTCCTGCCCAATCCCACACGTCAACAAACAGTATGTTCATCGCTTCCTGGGCAAGTTGTTGCTTCAATCGAAGCTTGATTCACAGAATCTGTATTGATCCCTGCTCTCGCCGAAGACCTGACCTTCCTACCAAAACACTTTGGCATTCTGGGTCTGAAATGCAAAACGCCCTGCCCAATCCCACACGTCAACAAACAGTATGTTCATCGCTTCCTGGGCAAGTTGTTGCGTCAATCGAAGCTTGATTCACAGAATCTGTATTGATCCCTGCTCTCGCCGAAGACCTGACCTTCCTACCAAAACACTTTGGCATTCTGGGTCTGAAATGCAAAACGTCCTGCACAATCCCACACGTCAACAAACAGTATGTTCATCGCTTCCTGGGCAAGGTGTTGCGTCAGTCGAAGCCTTGGTGATCAGCACTTTGGATGTCACAAAGCCCGTTGTTCACGTCCTTGACACACATCAGTGGAGTGTGTGTGTTGGTCCGTTGATCCATTTCCACCACTCGCCATATCCTTTTTACTTGCATCTGGAATGCTTGGGGGCCGACTTGTATCAGATCCTTGGAGGCATGTGTCTAGCGGAGACACCTGTACATCAACTTCCTATCCCTCTCCTGCAACATGTTTACACTGCGTAGGACATTATGAAGTTTGTTTATGTATGTATTACGAAGTAGTATCATGGTCCAGTGTGTGTGGGGGGGGGGGGCTGTCAATGCGGTAACTGCATTGTAGTACTTCGAAGTACGCAATAGTCTCCATGTTTGTATGTGTTTTCTTTTGTCATCCACCCAGTATTGTCTCTCCTGCTGTCTGCCTGCTGGTCTATGTCGCTCACTCACTCATTCTCACTCTCTGTCTGTCTGTCTGTGTGTCTGTCTGTATGTGTGTCTGTCTGTGTGTCTTGTCAGTCTTGTCTGTCTGTCTGTTTGTCTGTCTGTCTCTTTCTCATGTTTTATACATTTTTCGTTGTAGATTTCTTACCTATCACCTGTCCGGGCTGCCAGCAAGTATTCTGGTAAGTCATCCTAATTTGGGTGGAGTATATTACTACAGTGCTGCTAGATGAAGTCTAGTCGCATCACTCAAGTAAGTGTCAAGTTTGCGCCTTGCACCGTTTTGCAGCTCAGTGTCCGCAGTTCTAGGGCTGCGCAACGCCTGGCGCGTACTTGAGTGATGCAACTGGATTTCATTGAGCAACACTGCATATTTCCCGGGCGGGGGGGGGGGGGGGGGGGGGGGGAGGGGTTTTGATTTGCAATCTTTGCACCACAGGTGTGCCAAATGTGGCGGATGACATGGCATGTCGAATGATGTTCTAATCCTGGTCAAGTTTGACACCTCCACTGTAGCATTCTTTTAAATAGTACTCTCTTTCTCACTCCTGTGTGCAACCACACCATATATGCTAACACCACTCGCACACCTCACGCACCCTCCCCCCCCCCCCCCCCCCCCACACACACACACACAACAACAACAATCAACCTCTTCTGCGGGGACAGCAGCAACAGCAATTTGAATTATACTTCGCGAGATGAATATTGACATACCTCAAATCCAAAACGAGTCTCAGCTTTTCCCCATTATTCAGCACACCTAAAGGGCTGCAAATCACTGCCTCCTCACTCTTGACCTCCTTTATGCACCCTCTTTCCACCCTATCTCTGATTGAATCTGTGACAATTTCAAAATTGGCACTGACCACTACTATGATTTTTTACAGTTTTCGGCTTTGGTAGTTGCACGAACAGGAGTAGATACCCCTCACAAATGATCCTTAGCACAAATTCAGACGCCCCCATAGTTTCCCAAACTGGCTTGCACCTAGACAACTTGCCCACCACCACCCCTTGCCCTTCCAGTTTGCCTTGATCATCAGATTCACGCATGCCCGCCACGCACCCCTCATCAACAACACTCAGCGCCGAGTACACTTCATCATCAATTGCATCAGCGGGGAGGCCGTCTGCACAGCCCTCGGAGCTATTTCTGAGTGGCTGGCAAACAGTGCAAGCATAGACGTAGTCCGCCAGAACCTGACAGCCCGTAGTTCATTGTCTGAAATTCGTAATCGCTGAACATGTACACTCTCAGCTGCCTGCCGTTCCATAACGTGTTTTGCAAATGTTCAATCTGTGGAGCATACTGTCCAAGAGCAGTCTTCAAATTGACCAGAGTGTCTTTCCTCGAACATGCACAGTGGAATGGTGTTGTGCGTTGCGTTCGATGCTAGTACGCTGGCGATCTGCAAACTCAACTTGAAGTTGCCTCCTCCTTTAGCACCGCCAATCTTGAGCACACTTCGGACTGTGGAATCGTGCCTGAATGCCATGTCAAGCTGTCACTCTCATTGAGGATGTCCAGGAAGTGCATGACGACGGCGATGAGGTCCGGAAAATATACAGTGGCAGCCATGGAGACATCGCCATTCCGCTTCGACACCGGCAGCTCTGTAGCGGCATAGCTGGGCAGTGTCTTTGCGATGAATTCTCGTATGGAACGCTCAGACTCCAATGCAATTCCTCCATCTCTTTCCTCTTCCACCATGAATTGTATGTCTGGTGAAATTGCATTGATGGCTGCTAGTACGTGGGCTATTTCTCCTTTCTTGATGATGGTGAAGGTGTCGTCCACGTACCGCAGCCAGGTCTTGATCTTGTCACCACATGTTGTCAGGAGTTGTTCCCTGAGCCATTCCATGAAAATATCTGCTAGCACGGGAGAGAGTGGGGAACCCATGGCTGCACCTCTTGTCTGCCGGTAAAATGTCTGTTTGTACTGTAGGTAGGCGTTATTGACACAGAACTCAACCAGTTGCACTATGCTGGTCACCGAGAGCAAGGTGTCCCTGTCTGCAGGGTTCTGAGTGTTGAGTTTCTCTTTCAGGATCTCTAGGGTCTTGGCCATCGGAACGTTGGTAAAGAGGCTTTTAACATCGAAACTCGCCATCGCGTGGTCGTTGTCAATACTTGGCCCTGGGATCGTCATGATGAAGTGCTTGGAATTTGTGACATTCGTGGCCGACTGTCCAGTGCAGTGAGGGTGCGGAGGATCTTCGCCAGGTGGCGAGCTAGGCGGTGTGTTGGCTAGCAGCCACTATCGGCCTAAGCGGAACTCCTTCTTTGTGTATTTTTGGTAGCATGGTGTGCGCTTGCGCCCCTTTTCTTCTGGCTTGCACACACTGAGCAGTTTGTGCGATGGTGTGGCTCCCATTTGGTGACAGGTCCACAGCCACCTCCACAATGTTCTGCCTTTCTACTGGCTCTCTTTAGGGCTCGCTCGCACAGAATACAGATGTATGGTGGGTGGATGTCTGGGCAGTCTTCGAGATGTCAATGCCATGTACAGATTTCAGCAGATCACTGTATTTTGCCACACTATATCTGGTAGACCGCTTGAAACAGGAAAACATTCTGCCGCCGACTCGGCAGACTTCTTGCAGTAGTGAGTTATGTTCATCCATCATCACTCTACGTCCTCACCACAACTGGAGAGTAACACAATTGCAGCTACGATCCAGTAAATGTGGGAAATACCAGAAGTGTGGGAATATTGCAAACGCAAGTCGCACAGAATTGATGCACGTCATGGAACGAAATTTTCTACAGCACCAGAACGGACTCTTACCTACCCGATTCCAAATTATCTAAACGATACTCAAATCTGGGGATACGATTTGGGGCACAAACGTTGGCTCAAATTCTGCACGATGAACATCCCAGGCGAGGAAAACAACGTCCTCCAGAGGCAAGGAAACAAATCGAAGCAGTGGTCACGTGGCATGTACGCAGAGCTGAGGGAAAGACAAGGCCAACAAATTGAAAACTCAGGGCAAACCAAGCATAGTGGAGACGAAAAGTGGCGAAGTCTGGTGAATACTTCTCTGTCTAAAGCAATTCCTGGACGAAAATCATAAATTTTTACGCATTCTCGGGCGCCATATCAAATGGGCCAAAATCGCGCAAAAAAAACAGCCGTGTGTACGTTGTCCTGCAGTTGTGCGTGCTCTGTGCTCGCAGCACGATGGGTCCTTCTACGGGGAGGCATGGTTCGTAAAAGGACCTTGAAAGTTGAAAATGATTACAGTTTTGGACGGAAAGGATACACTACACGTGCAAAGCAAGAAGAAAAAGAATGCTGCAGCCAGAGCGCATTCTCCTACTACCTCGCATTTGCGAGCAGGAAATGTTACGTCATGCAAAAAAGAAAGACAAAATAACTAATAAATAATAAGGATCAGTTGGGGAAGTGAACTGCCTGAAAAGAGAAAAAAAACGCCAGACCCACCAGGACTCGAACCCAGGACTTTGCTTGTCATGAGCAATGCTGTAACCACTGAGCTATGGGACCAGGCTGAACCTAGAAGGCACTGACACATTTTTTTTCACTCCAGAGGCTCCCCATTGAAAATATTTGAAATGTGTAGAATTTATCGATCACCGGTGATCTATAAAAGTATGTACTGTCGTGCTGTCGGGTTGCCCCCTAACGCTATATTCGCTAGGGGGCACGAAATTTGTGCCAAACTAAAGTTTTTTTCTGAACGTTCAGGTTCACAGACCTCGACCAAAAACGAAATTTAGTACGTAAACGAACCTGCTGGTGGAGTGATCTAACGAAAGATTTCGTAAACTAAAATTTGTACTTGTACAGTAGTTCCCATGTTCACTATGCGATTCTTGGTGTGGTTAGCAAGTGAGCACTAGGATTTTACCGCCCTGGAAAGTACCTGCCCAGCTCCTCTCTCTGAAGACAGTTGGTCTATGGCTGGCGTATATGACACACTATGCTCTCTCTCTCTTTCTCTCTCTCTCTCTCTCTCTCTCTCTCTCTCTCTCTCTCTCTCTCTCTCTCTCTCTCTTTCTTTCTCTCTCTCTTTCTCTCTCTCTCTCTCTCTCTCTCTCTCTCTCTCTCTCTCTCTCTCTCTCTCTCTCTCTCTCTCTCTCTCTCTCTCTCTCTCTCTCTCTTTCTGTGTGTGTGTGTGTGTGTGTGTGTGTGTGTGTGTGTGTGTGTGTGTGTGTGTGTGTGTGCGATGCTGTAGCCGCCAACACTCACAGCCCTCCAGCCATGACTGTCCAGCGAAGGACGGTCGTCAGCTTGCCACACCGTCGGAAGTACCCTCCGCCGACTCAGTGCAGACTAGCTGTGACATAGCAGAGTGTAGTCGTCATGACCTGGTAGCTGTGCTCTGCCATCATTGCCATAAGCGCTTTTGTCTCAAGTGAGTTGTTTGTCTCTTGATATTACTTGTATGGTGTATAACTGCACATCGTGTGCATTATCCAGTCTTCCTCTCTACCAGCTCAACTACTGAAGGAAGTCTTAAGGAAGCGTGTCTGCACGTGTCTGTGCCCGGTATTGTTTGTTAATACGTGTATGTTGCACATTAAACGTTCTTTCCGCATTTTGTGGAAGATGTCTTCTTTACTTTGACTCGAAAAATTTAAAAAAAATCGACGGGTTCGCGTGCCGGGCAGGTCAAGAACAAGGAGTCGTACAACTCCCTGGTCAAGAACCACCTTTCCACTTCCGTGGGACTCTAATGTCAGGGTAATACCGATGACAGTTCTATCACGTGACATCTTGATCCGTGTGCGTATCTAAGACTGGACAAGATTGTTGATTTCCAATGCTGAGAGGCTTGTCACATTACTTTGCTATGCTGAGCTCATGATGCAGTGGGGAAAGGGGCTATGGTTGTTGTCTGGCTGAGTTGTTTTGTTTTCATCTTGTGCAACTTCCAGACACCGACATGCTGTGGATCATGACTGCCCGTCATTGCTTGCGGCGAATGAGACGGCTAGTACCAAGGTTACCGTGCCTAGTCTGTATGGGACAAGTAAGGAACTCTGTGCGTGTGGGTGTGTGGGTGGGGGTGGATGTCTGTGTGTGTTTGGGTGTATGTGTGTGTGGGTGGGTGGGTGTGGGGGGGGGGGGGGTGGTTGTCTGTGTGAGTTTGGGTGTATGGGGGCGGGGGGGGGGGGGGGGGGGGGATTTTTTTACGACTCCGTGGGTTGTCCTGTTCTGCGATGGGGTGGATTCCACATGGTTAAAGGGGAAGTTAAGGCAAAAATTAAAATTTCACCAGTTGTAGTCTTCGGGGTGCTGAGTCGAATGGTCTTGGTCCGAGAAAGCTGAGACGCTCCCTTCCTACTTGAATCCCAATCGAACTCGCGCACTTCCACCGAAACTGGGTGACTGCGCCCTACTAGATGGGGATTTGTATGCAAAATGTCACTAAAAGCGCCATTTCGTTCTTATAAAAGCACGGATGACCGCGATTGGCCCATATGTTGTACTCTTTTGGACGCTGAGTCGACTGGTTTTGGTCCGAAAAGGCTGCGATGCAGCGTTCCTCCTTTATTCCCAATCGAACATGGTTGAACAAGTGGTCACGTGCTCCTGCGTACACCAGTCAGCTGGTCACCGTGCCTGCAGGGTACAACTTCCTAGTCTGTTTGACCTTTTTTGGGTGCAGTCCTGTCACTCGAGTTGAACTCGAGTTGAACCTTGGTGTGAAAGTTGTCGCCTGCTGGCGTGGTGACCAGGTGATTTGGGCACCCAGGAGCACGTGACCACTTGTTCAACCATGTTTGATTGGGAATAAAGGAGGAACGCTGCATCGCAGCCTTTTCGGACCAAAACCAGTCGACTCAGCGTCCAAAAGAGTACAACATATGGGCCAATCGCGGTCATCCGTGCTTTTATAAGAACGAAATGGCGCTTTTAGTGACATTTTGCATACAAATCCCCATCTAGTAGGGCGCAGTCACCCAGTTTCGGTGGAAGTGCGCGAGTTCGATTGGGATTCAAGTAGGAAGGGAGCGTCTCAGCTTTCTCGGACCAAGACCATTCGACTCAGCACCCCGAATACTACAACTGGTGAAATTTTAGTTTTTGCCTTAACTTCCCCTTTAAAGACAATTGTCCATGTCTACATGTCTTGCCAAGAGTAAGGGTCAACGGAGTTGAGGGAAAGTTAGGAAGAATGTTTCACCCACCAGCCTGCTAACGCTGCCAGCTAACTTGTCATGGCCATCGCCGTGTGCGTCTTCGTGTGTATTTGGGTATCTCGTCGTGATGTCACTTTCCAGCCATTTTGTTTTGCGTTCTTGTTCTTGTTGCTTATCCCCTCCTTGTTGTAGAAACGTCAACTGATAAAAGTGACGCTCCAGCTAAGATCGTCAAGAAAGGTGAATTCTACGAGCACATGTGTGTGTGTGTGTGTGTGTGTGTGTGTGTGTGTGTGTGTGTGTGTGTGTGTGTGTGTGTGTGTGTGTGTGTGTGTGTGTGTGTGTGTGTGTGTGACAGTTATCTGGCGCAAGTCTTGGTCTGTCTCATTCAGATCTTGTTAGCTATCGTTGCTATAAGGAAAATCTGTGGGTGCACATCCAGTGCATTTGCACGCCAGTCCCTCCCGACCATACGGCTGGCGATTCTAGAACTTCCACCACAATTGCAAAGGTCTACCAGCTGACCTGTAACGTTATTATCGGCAGAGTTGTTGTTTTGCAGGTTACGCATGACAAGAACGAAAAATGAAGATTTGAGTGCTCGGTTTCTTGCGTTTTATGTGTCCCAAAGAATGTGTTTTGCTCGACGTTCATGCACCGAAATCACACGGAGTGTGTACTGGAAAAATTCAAGTGCCAAATGCGGCAGTTACGTGAGGGTCTGCTGGTGAATTTGGGTGATACACACACACCAGATCTGAACGCATTTAGTGCACCAAGACGGTTGTTGTTTACATGATCTCTGTACAGAACTTGAAGGGCAATCAAGGCTTGTTTGCTGCTACTCAAAGTTTCATGCTTACGCAATCATGATCTCTGTATATTTGACTTGAATCCGAACCTCTCTGCTGTGTTGTTGATGCTGGTGTGACGTTACTCTGTCCCTGACTGTGTTTCCGCTTGTCTAGTTGGTACCAAGTCAGCACACACAGCCGCAAAGGTGGCGCTGATGAAGCTGAAAATGCACGCCGTCGGTGACAAGGCAATTCCACAGGTACGTGGCGATTGATTTACTGTTCCCCGTTCATGCTGCGAGGCGGCATGGAATGCGTGACATACAGTCAACGTTGCGTATAACGACACTCAGCCGGGCATCAGAAGAGTGTCCTTATTCGCGAAGTGTCGTTATACCCGAAGTCTCGTTATGTATACAGGTAGTTGGACTTTGCTCTGAGCGTGGAAATTCTGTCGTTATTCGCAAATTGTCGTTATATCCGCAGTTGTTATATCCGCAGTCGTTAGTAGCCAAGTTGTCTGTAGATGTTACTCTGGCTCCGCTGTGTTTTGGAATATCATCCAGTTCTCACAAACAGTGATTGTCTCTTTGAGAACTGCAGGCTTATGAAATGTGTTTCTGTTGGCGGTGTAGGAGTAGTTCTTTGTTTCCCAAGACAAATGTAGTCTGTTGCTCGTGTTATATGATTGACCAGGACGATGGCTGTTTGGCAAACGTCCATACCTTGGTCTTACTCTGCATGAACTAATCTGAGCAAGACGTCCAGTACTTCTGCGACACGTGGCATCAGTGCTTTAGCAGCTGTAACTTATCTGCGCCTTGATCCTTGAGAGCGGTGGTGGGTGTCCTGCGGATGCGGAAAAACAGTCTGCCTTACTCTCACGGGAGCTGTGGATATGTATACCAGCAGTGCAAGGAATGCCCGCTTTTGAAAGGGAATATCCCTCTAGTATCCATCTTGCCAAGCACCAAGTATTCTATATTTGAGCCTGCTGATTAGGCATATAAAGAGCTGTTTATTTGAGTGTGCATGTGATGCAATTGCACAGTACACCAATGACTTTATTCCCGTAGCTATGCAGAAGACGTTACTTCAGTAACGTCTGGCGCTAGCCAGGGTCCACACAGCTTTAATTTGGTGTTTGTGTGTTTGTTTGTTTGTTTGTTTGTTTGTGTCACGGCTGGAGCTATCCCGTATCTGTCCCGTATCTGTCCCGTATCTGTGACTACAAAGGCTCTACAGGATTGTACATAACAGCTGTCCACAATATTTGCGGGCTCCTGTATCTGTCCCGTACCGTACCAATATTCGTCGTATTATGTATACGACTCCCTGATGTAGAGGGAGATTTGGAAAGAAATACGGAGGCGAGGAGGAAATTAAATTAGAATAGACGCCGAATAGGTGATAGGATGCGTCCGCATTAACATACATGTACTTTGGAAGAGAGATCCCGTCGTCTCCAAAATAAGCGTGAACGAGCGATTCAGCGCCGGTCACAAGAAACGTCGGAAGAGGGATCCCGTCGACTCCAGAACCCCGTGATCGGCAGAGTTCGCCGGTCCCAGGCAACGTCAGGACAGACATCCCGTTTAGTCCAGAACGCCCGTGATCGGCAGAGTCTAAGCCGGTCCCAGGAAACGTCAGGACAGCCATCCCGTCGAGTCCAGAACGCCCGTGATCGGCAGAGTCAGCGCCGGTCCCAGTGAACGTCAGGACAGACATCCCGTCGACGCGCAGAAAAACTAAATCTGCAGCCCCTTTTGCCGTCGGACAGGATACGTATTATAGGAGACTGTAAAGTTATGTAATGTCCAAATTTCCACGTGAGCAGCAGGTCACTCGCGTTGATTTTTCGACGTGCGAGCCAAATAACGCGAGCTGAACTTTCGCGTCGCAGACATCCGGTCGACGCGCAGAAAAACTAAATCTGCAGACTCTTTTGCCGTCGGACAGGATACGTATTTTAGGAGACTGCTAAGTTATGTAATGTGCTCCACAGGCAACCATGCATTCGGCGTCGTCATTTGCTCAACAGGTCAATGTACATGTATAACTACAAAAAGGCCAGAAAATCCGATTAGGGAGCATCTCATAAGTTCGCACTTTTTTTGTAAACGTAACGCATTTCGAATAGACTTTACCCCCCTACCTCCCCCCACTATTTGAAAGTCTTATCGCACATTTTCAGTGTAGATCTACTGTACTGTACATGTCCATGCCATGGTATGCACAATCATGTACAATGTTCAAGTACTAGTACATGGACATGGACGCTAGTGTGGAAGTGAATGACATACAGTAGTACCACATCTACTGGCAGTACTGAGTACAAGTAAGTATTGGTTACAGTCTTAGTTCAATCAATGACATGTACACACACATAAACAGAGTTACTCCACAACGACTGTACTGTCAAAGCTGGCCAGGTGGCAGGTACACGGTTTGATCAGGCTGGTGTGACATTTGACACCTCTGAGTAGCCTGCATGCGTAGTGCAAGGGTTAGAAAACACCCGTACCCTGCTATCTGAAGCGGTCTAGCACAAGCACAGCACTGTATTGCACACATCCAGAAAATGTGCGAACTGTCATTTTTCTATCCGAAATGGGCGCTACCCCCCTACCCCCGTTTCGAAATGCGTTACGTTTAGAAACAAAATGCGAACTTATGAGATGCTCCCTTACTGTATTAAAATCAACTAATTTTCGCTGGCGATTTAATTTCGCTGATTTCGCCGCTTGGTACCAACCGGCCAAAGTAAATCGCAGGCCAAAGTATGTCATATAGGCAAATGATGCATGATTGAGCAATGGATGCATGTGAGAGGAAAAATACCGATCGATTTCAAATTTGACGTGAAATTGCGCGTCACGTCGGAAATAACGTGCATCTTAACCTCTCTAATAGAGAAGTTTCTATTTCTCATCTGCCAAAATTTGTTGATTTACAGTATAAGGAGATAAAAAGAAAAGGAGCAAACCAAAAGTAGACGAATATTAGAGAAAAAACAATCCGCAATAAATTCTGCAAACACTTTTGCCTCAGTTCTTATAACATGTACGATGAGCTAGGCAAAAAAAGCATAGCGTAGGGCCCTGAGCTTCCAAGCTCTCTCGTATACTATGAACCGCGTCGACCTCCACAGTCAAATGGGTGGTCATAACTCGCAGTGAAGGTAATGGAGTGGTTTCACATCTATCACATGACCAAACAGGGCAGCCATGTTGGTACCAACTCCACTCAACTCCTGCATCTATGGGTCACAGGATGTCGCCCATGTTGGATCCACTGTCCACATGCCATGATCACTTTCTGCACAAATTTAGTCACATGACCAAGACGTGAAACCACTCTATAATTATATGGTCACAGCTAACAAGCTTTCGACCCTTGCTGGTCACTTGTGAGATTCACCATCCCACTCTCGTCGCCGGGCACTGGATTTCCCGTACGCACTGCAAATGCTTTGCCTGATGTCCAGAAACGTATGAAACGGAAATACGAGCGTACATTGCGCAATTTGGATATTCATTTCCAAAAATATTGGAATGGAATCGTAATTTTGGCAAGTCAGTAGTGGTAGGTTTGAAGTTGGAACCCTGCCTTTCGTTGCCTGTTGTATTAGTTTTTTTGCGCAAGATTCTACTTGTGTGATTGTCCTCTCTGTGCCATACTAAAACATGGTGTTATGCATGTCACAACTGCTTCTACGTGTAGATGGATCGTGTCCACTTCAATGCCATTCCCCCTCTTGGATCTACACAAAAACCCGTGGGTGTGTTCTTCTCGAATGTAAGTCGCAGGCCACATTTATATAATGAGTGCAGGAATGATGGGGGGAAAGAGTCACGTCAAGGGAGGAGGGGGGTTTGTGATAATGCAGTTTCTGTTTGCTGCCATCAAGATTTTTAAAAGAGTGCATAACCGCTTGAGTGTGCCAACACACACATACACACACATACACACACACACACACACACGGCCAGTGCTGTCCGTTTCACGCTTTCAAGTTGACACCATTTCTTAGGCTGCATTGCTTGTTGTGTGCTTGTTTCAGACGTGTGGGCAAAAGGTTAAATGCATCTCACGTGTTTGCGTGTGCGCATTTTTGCAGGATTGGATCAGAGAATGTCGCCGAGGACGTCTGAGATCACGCATACGGCAAGCGTTGCATCATAAAAAATGGCATCAGCTTGAAATACTGCTGGAACAGCATTTGCCCTCTGTGTGTTGTGTGATTGTCGTATGTGTGTTGTGGAATAGTAATGGCATGTACGTGTGTGTGTGTGGTGCACTCTGGTGGGTTATGTTCTCCTGTAGGGGTTGGGGGGGGGGGGGGGGGGGGGGGGAGCTGTTTCCATCTTTATGTTTGTCTTCTAGTCTGGTATTGAGTGAGGGAGTGTGTGCACTGTGTGCATAGTCAACTCTCCCGTGGAAATGGTACCAATAGTAAGTAAAGTAAATTATCGTGTCCGTTCCCGAAGGGAACTCAAGACGGCCGCTAACACCCGGTAAACCCTAGCGGCAGATGCAGCGCCTAATGGTGGGGTTGAGTGGATAAGTCTCACAACCACTGAGAAAACCGCATTAGCTGCATCAGCTGCGTTAGCTGTACCAGTAGTGCTAGTGTGCAAAGACACCAAGCACATCTTCTAGTAATCTGTATGTAACATGTCACTGCAACAAATCCTGGGAATCAAGTTCTTCATCATTGTGATGGTTTCTCCTTCCTTCATCGAATGTGTTTCCTCTCCACACCGGCAATGAGGAACTGGAATTCCCAGGCTCATGATGAGCACGCACCCACGCACATTCACACACAGCGGTGCATTAATGTCATTGGCTGTGCACGTGTGTATGCACATCGCTGTACACACAGTACGGTTCCTACATATCCTTGCCCTAGTGCCAGGCTACCAAATCACCTACTGAGAGGAGCAGTGGACTCTGCCCACAGATATCAGAATTCACAAATGGCTCGATGCATTGCCTGGCCCTCTGCTCTTATGGTGGGTTTATGTCTGATTTCCACGTTAGCTTTCTGGCCAATGGTTCATTGATCGGGCATTCATTTACAGTATGTCACTTGATTGACTCACTTCTATCCGTCAGCTTCTCCCACACCTCCATGTAGTACAACCACAATCCCAAAATTTGTCTTGCATACAGCAGCATAGCTATAGATAGACACAATCCGCAGTGGTATTTTGAAGAAAAAAAAGAGGGAAATGCCGACATAGTCATTTCTTATTGGATGATGACGTCAACACTGACCCAGCAGTACATGCACTAATAGATCAATCTGCACAGTAGTCAGTATTGATCATAATACCTCTTCAGCTTGTAAATAGCTGCATACCGGTACTGGGTACATGGTACGAAGGGGGTCGGGGGGTCGTATGCCCCCCCCCCCCTCTCCCCGAAAAAGAAAATTTTCTCGCATTTGATTATTATAGACTTATACGAGTAGTGCATGTGGTCTTGAGCATACATGAGGCTGTATGTGCCTCTGTACACTATAGCCATAACCACCCACACTCCATTGCTCAGCGTCAGTAATGAGTATAATTATGGTACAATTGGATGCGGAGGAAGAGTTCTGTGTGTGTTTGTGTGTCTCACTGGCACCTTGATATCATAGCATTTCATGTAGTAGTGTGACAGAAGAGTCACTGAAATCGATCTCCACACATACACATACACATACGCGCATATTAGTCTCCTGGTATGTAGGCTGCAAGATAGTACTCTAAAGTTAGTTGCGAGGTTTCTAGATTTACTTTAATTGTCATACATGAGCAGTGCTGAAAACGAGACCCTTGGTCGGTTTAGCTGCTCTTGCCTCGCCTCCACTCCTTTGGCTGCCATCGCTATGTGCATCACTGTGCGTTTTTGCCGGCGTTTGCACCATGATGGTTTGTGGTTATCTTGTAAAAAAAGAAGAAGAAAAAAGTAACACGTGCAGCCCTCAGTGCAGACAAGATACTGATGGAACAAATCGTCTTCACCTCGATCTCTGTGTGCGCCGAAGAAGAAAATCACTGCCTGGCATTGTGCTTGGCACAGCCACTAAACCTGCTGGCTGGACTCAATTCACCTAGACAAAGGGGAAAGAAAGTTTAGTAACCTCTTCGACCAGGGTGTGTTACAAACAAGTTCTTATTTCACTCATGCAACGGCACTACCCAAGCTGCTTTTTCGCCTTTGTTTTCCGGTGTATTTTTAAGGGCCATGAGAGAGACAGAGACAGAGAGTTATGTGTCCGTTGTGTGTCAACTGTGTGTCGGTGCAGAGTTGTGGTACTGTACAGGCCATTTGTTAGAGACATGTACAAGCGTTCCAGACTACATAGACTCAGACTGTGGACGTGGCATTGTGTTGTGCAATGTTGAATCCAGTGCAGCAGCTTGCAAACAGCCAGACCTCGCTTGATAGGCGAGGAAACCGGATAACCGAATACCGGTTACGTTGGATGCATCGCGTATGCTGTAGATCTGTAACCAGCTATGTTCTTCCGGGTTGCGCGGGAACCGGATAAGCGAGGTCTGATCTGACTGTAGTCTGGTAGTGCTACCCATTCTTCTCTTGTACATTACCATGATCACTGTCCTAGGATTGTGGGTCCCAAACTAGGCCAAAGGTCAGCAGATCATGTTCACATTGTCTGCTAATAATTGTGTCAGTATATTGATGTAACCTTGAACTTTGCAGGCATTAATTAATTCGGTGTTTGTAGATTTGCTTAGTGTTTAGTGTCATGTGTGAATGTTGTTCCAGTGCTTAGAAAGGTGTGTGAAGGTCTTAGACTACTTGTAAAACGCTGACTGTGCAGTCTGTGCGATGTAAATACAGTGGCCGCTCCTAGTCCAGCAACAATCACTTGCGACAAGTACCACTTTAATAGCTGAATCTGCCTGCATGCTGTGTTCCTACTCATAATGTTAGGCAACAGCAGCATGAGTTAAGTACATGTAGTGACAATCTCTGCGGAACATAGCCACCATCCCTCAGCCTCTAACACAATCATGCCTCACTCCCTGCACTGCACAGTCTAGTCATGTCGCCCATACCCTTGTGAAGTAACGTTAGTTGTCACTTGAGTCGAGAAGCTATGGAAGCACCTCCAGAGCTCTCTTCACCTGACTGAGTCGGCTGCTGCTTGTACATACTTGCATGCTAAGTACCAGCGGGTGTTTCTTGAGCTCTCCCAGAGTCTAAACTAAAGAGAGAAATGTGCCAAACAATCTTTGGTCAAGCTCAGCATCTTGCTTTTGTGTGGTTTCATCGCATCAATCTTCAAGGAGGCAAGGGAGTAATTCACACCTGCTGCGTATGTCTGTATGCTACACCTTGCTGTCAAGCTGAGTAATGGGCTAGGGATCCCGTGAGGCATGCATGTTGTAGTACAGTGCAGTAGTGCCTGGGCCGCCACCGCTGCCGGCCAGCACAGTGCACGCAGCCAAGGAAATACCTCCGTGGTGAGTGTGGCCCGCAAAAAGGAAAATGACCTCAGTCCCACGTTCCATTGTTGATCGGATTCAGATTCGACTTCGCCTGGTATGTGTATGCTTGTGTATTGCGGTTGGGTGTGAATCAGGTTTGTCAGATGGTATGGTCACGTCATTATTCACTCACTGACTCAGGTAGCCTTTGCTGCTGGCAGGATAGGGAATACTGGGGTACCCTGGAGATAGTGTGTGCCCAACCCAGAATGAGATTATTCGACAAGATTTTCCTGACAAGCTGTCGTTCTTCTGTTCTGTCGAGGCATGTGCACTTTCAGTTTCATAAAAAAAGTTTTTAAAAATCCTGAACCAGCTGGATAGTTCTCCAGTGCTGAACAGAATGTATCTGCCTATGATTTTCAGAGTCCACAAGGCAGAACAAGAGGGACCAAAAACTTTCTCGTGTGTCTATTTCCAGAGTACATGTACTGTACTTGTACTATTTCTGTTTGTGACAAAATAACTCCAAATTAAAAGTGACAGTGCTCGCACTAGCCATGAATGACTAAGTGTAGTTTCCACTGAGGAGATCCTTCCCGTTGCGGAAATCTGGTGTCCAGTGTCTAATGTTGCCACTTGTTTTGGTTCTCAATTTCCTCCCTCAAGTATCTATCAGCGTCTCGGGCGGTGTACGAAACTCCGAAATTAATGACGCTGCGGCGTAAACTGGTAAAACTCATCATTGCCGCATGAGTGGATAGCCTCTTGCGTGGGTTGTGTTTTTCTGCAACTGGAACATTTCGCCCATGAAAAGAGTGCTAACTCGATTAGTCGATTGGTAGATCTACTGGTGTGCGCGTGATTGGCATCCATGTAATCTTATTAAATTATTGGGCGGCTGGTGCACATATTTGCGTGTGATCATCGCTGTATGCGTCTCACTACTAAATTTCTGGTTGATGGTGCCTGATGAACTGTTTGTTTTTGTTGTTCTGGATTTCGACGAGTGGCAATTACCGGGCGTCAATGGACCGCTCTTAAATGAGGTGAAATTTGCTGACAGGATCTGGCTTTTGTGGTATTCGGTTCAGTGTTCGCTATGGGTTTCTTCCGGGTCCTGGCGGCCTGTGATATGCCTACTTTTGTTGTTCTGGTTCAAGTTTCTAAATGTTTTCCTTCTCACAAAGAGGCACAAGGGTGAAGTTGGGCTGGAGTATGTTTACCTGGTGCGACGAATCCACCCACTCCCCTTCTGTATTATTTGATGCTGAAATGAAAGAACTTTGTGTGAGCATTGTGTGGTCAAACTGATTGATTGAACGGTCTGGTTTGTTTTCTTGATGTCAT